TGGAGAATAGGGTGCTGTAGTTTGATGAATAATGCCATGTTGTGCACAAAATTCATTTAATGGTGCATCATATTCACCACCCCTATCACTTCTAACCATTTTAATGGTTTTTCTAAGTTGATTTACAACTTCTGTTTTGTAGAGTTTAAACATTTTTAAGGCTTCATTTTTGCTTCTAAGTAAGTATACATAACAATATCTTGTGCAATCATCGATAAATGTTATGAAATACTTTTTGCCTCCTTTAGTTTGAACAAATTTAAGATCACATACATCAGTATGAATTAATTCTAGAGGTTCGATTTTTCTTTCAACAGATTTAAATGGAGCCTTAGTTAGTTTCGCTTCTACACAAATTTCACATTTGTGATTAGGATCAATTTCAAATTTTGGTATATAATCCAAACTAATTAATCTACGCAAAGTATCAAAATTCACATGCCTAATTTACCATGCCATAAATTCAACTCAAGAATATAAGAAAAATATGTATTATTCTTATTAAAAGCAACTTTTGGTACAACCGTCATTACATTTAATTTGAAGAGACCATCACTCATGTATTCCTTACCAACATACATACCACTCTTTGTTAATACAAATTTATCAGACTCAAAGACAAGCCTATAGCCATTTTCACTTAACAAAGAACCAGAAACTAAATTCTTCTGGATGTCTGGTACATACAGTACGTTGCTGAGGGTCAGTTCCTTCCCTGATATCATCTTTAAGATCACCTTTCCTTGTCCAGCCACAGTAGAAGTAGAAGAATTTTTCATGAAAAGTTGTTCACCATTTGTAGCCTCATTGTAGGTAGTGAACATCTTCTTATCCGCACATATGTGACGAGTTGCTCCAATGTCAACCCACCACTCCTTGGGATTTCCAACCAAATTAGCCTCAGACACCACAGTAGAGAGATTGATGTCATTTACCTCATTAGAGATGTAATCTAATTATGTCACATTGGCTTGATTGGTGGTCTTCTTGCTTCTACTTCCGCGATCCTTCTTAGGGCGGCAACAATCAGAAGCTTGATGTCCAGTCTTTCTACAGTTATAGCATTTTCCTTTGAACTTCTTATTACCATTGTTGTTGCCTTGTTTAGGACCATCTCCAGTAAACTTCCTCTTTTTGTTATGTGGTTTGTGAACTTGTTCAACCACATTAGTCTTGGACTCAATGAGATTTTTTCCATTCCTCTTTTTAGCCTTATAATTATCTTCCTCAATTTTCAGTCTTACAATAAGTTCATCCATGGTCATTTCTTTGCGTTTTTGTTTTAAATAATTTTTGAAATCTTTCCAAGCCGGTGGTCACTTTTCCACTAAAGCAGCGACTTGGAAAGACTCGCTCAAAGACATACCTTCATAATAAATATCATGTAAAATTAATTGAAAATTTTGAACTTGAGAAATTACCGTTTGGGAGTCTACCATAACGAAGTCCAGAAATTTACCGATAACAAATTTCTTTGTACCGGCATCCTCTGTCTTGTATTTCTTCTCCAAAGAATCCCACAATTCTTTTGCTGTTTTCAGAGGGTTGTAAACATTATACAGCATGTTGTCAAGACCATTGAGGATGTAGTTTCTGCACAGGAAATCTGAATGTTTCCAAGCATCTACAATGGCAGCAACTTGTCGATCACTTTCATTCTCTCTCAGTACTAGAGCCTCTTCACGGAGAAACCGGGCCAAGTTTAGAGTTGTAAGATAAAACAGTATTTTCTGCTGCCATCTCTTAAACTCAGTACCGTTAAATTTTTTCGATTTTTCTCCATGATTTATTGGAACTTGAACATGGTTCTGGATAGGGACCGAAGTTGGTGTAACAATTGGAGTACCACTTCCAGTTGCAGTAGCCATAATATCTTATTACAAAAATTAGAAAAAAAAATCAAAACACAAATTAATTTTCTAGTTACTAAAACCAGAAAATAAATTATAGCACAAAATAATTTTATTTTCCTTGTTACTAAAACTAGAAAAATAAAATACTACAATAATTTTCTGTAACACAAATTGATATTCTGTAATTGTTAATGGCACCAGTATATTACTACTAATTGTCAAAGAAAATAGACAGTATATTACTACTATCTGTCAAACAGTATATTACTGCTGTTTGTTTTCTAACCAGAATATCACTTTGTGAAAACGCAGAAAATTAAATACAATGAAGATACCAAAAATTATTCTATTTTAAGATTGTTGGACAATCTTCACTATATTTAAATAAATAAACTCTGTTTGTGTACTAAACAACAAATAGAATACAAAAGAAAAATAAGAAATGAGAGAGATTTTTTGATTACAAAAATCAAACTAGAAAATAAATAAATAAATAAAAATAGATTTTTATTTTGTTACAAAGACAAAATCAAAATCTGATTTAAATAAATAATAAACCAGAAAATAAATTAATAACTTACTTGATTAATTTCATGAACAATATTTTGATCAAGTCCAGTGTTAAACACTGTGTCCTTAAGACAGATTCGTCCTCTTTATAGTGCTTTCAGAATATGGACATCTATCTCCCAGGATAAAATGATCAATCAACGAAAAATAACAGCACTACAAATTTTTTTTACAACGAACACACTAAGTGTTTATACTCTATCTCACAGAAATTTAGATGCAGCAAAATGCAGAGAGTAGTAGTAGATTTAAGGACGAAATTGGAGTGAATATCCAAATGAGGGACTGCCTTTATATAGAAGGAGTGGTGGCTGTTAATTTTGAATTAAATAGGTGCAAAACCTGTTTGAACATGTATGGTTTGAATTAAACAGGTAAGGCACTGTTTTAGCAGATAAACTGTTTTGGGTTTAAAATTTAAACCGATTTGAAATCTGTTCAGGTAGAACAGATTTGAATTTTTCCGAACCTGTACAAAATTCTGAAGAGGTGCAACAGTTGAATTTGAATTTGAAATTAAAATTTCGAACAGATTTTATTTTACTAAAAAATAAAATTAAATTCAAATGTTTTTGGCCCAAAAAGATAAGTATTGGGTCGGACAAGTCCAACCTAACCTCACACTCGCACCCAAGCTCAATCCGACCAATTAGACAGACGGCGGCGGCGGCGCGCGTATGGTGATTTTTGGGTCCAATGGGTCTAGCCCATTTTGCCCATAACCTCCATCTCTACAAAACTTGGGTGCCTTTTGGGGCCTACCCCAAGTCCCAATCCCATGCCTTATAAACCCACTCAAAACTTTCCACCAAATTAATGTGGGACAAACCATTTTCCAAACTTTAAGGAATTTTCACCAAAAACTCCATTTCCATGGAACTTACTTTGGCTTTAATTTTCCATTCATCCGATAATGGTTTTGAGCAACCAAATGTAACACGTGAATCACAACGCGGTATAGAACGCGTTACCACTTAGACCTGCGAAAATTGACGCATGGGTTTTCACCTAAATATTAGACCAAAGTTTAAGAAAAATTCTGTTTTTACCTAGATTTTTTCCAAAACATTTCTAACAAAATCCACTCTATCCCACTTGAAGAGAAGGGAGATTGATAAATTTATCATTAAAAATGAATTTGAACATGGTTTGCAGTAGATTTGTTATCTGGTTTAACACACACACACACACACACACAGAGGGAATATGAGATCAAAAGAAATTGTTTAGTATCATTAGAGTCAATTTCATCACTAGAACAACTAAATCGCTGTAGATCTATATGAGGTTGTTGAAAAATTGTGGCTAACTAGGACAATGGTGATATAGGATGATGGCAACAACAAAGGAAGCGGTAATGATATGGTGATTGTGCAGATTGGTGATGGTAGAAATGGATTAGCATTAACAACGGTAAAGGGTAGATTATAGATCAACGACGGTAGTGATGGATCTATAACGATGGAGGTAGTTAGTGAATAGTGGTGAAATCAGCAGTGATGGATTGCAGATCAACAATAATGGTGATTGGTGAACAGTAGTGGTAGCAGTGGACAGTAAATAGTGATGGTGGTGATGGTCAGTGGACGATGACAGTAGTGGTACTACTATGAGGTTGTTGAAGAGAGAGAGAGAGAGATTTAAGTATTTAATGAAGGTTAAATTATCATTTTAGGTATTATTTTGTTCACTGGAATAAAATGGCACTACGTCAAAGTTCGTCTTTAATGGCGATTTCAATTACGGCGCTAAAACGACTGCCGTTAAAGATATTATATGCGGTTAACAAATTGCCTTTAAAAATTTATTATTAATGGCGACTATAAGAACCTGCTGGTATAATGACCAAAAAATCATGGTAAGTTGAAAGGTCATTCTTTTACGATAGTTATTTGAAGACTGCCACAAATATATTCCGTACTTTTTTAATTCTTTCTAAAAAAGAATTTGGGTTCCCTCTAATTAATTTGTTAAATGACATCGTGTCTTTACCTATTTCTCTTAATGGATTGGTTTTTCCCTGTATATCTCTAACACTATGCTTGATTGAGTAATTTAGAGAGAAAAAGAAAGAAATAGAGAGATATGTATTTCTCTTACTTGTTTAGATAACTTAAGTGGAGAGAAATGAAAAGAAATTGAGAGAAACTCATTTTTAATCTTCTCAAAAGTGGAGAGATTGGAAGAAAAAAGAAATCACTATTTTCATAATACCAATTTTATCCCTATAAAAATAAAAGAAATAAAATAATTAAAAATATAAAAAAATTATTTTGATAATATAACATAAAATAATTTCTTTTCTTTTCTTTTCTCTTAAATAAAAATAAGAAAAATCAATTTTTTTTCTTTTATTTGTACCTTATCCAAACCAAAAAAAAATAAAAAATAAAAATGAAATGACAATCATTTATTTTCTTTTCTTTTCTGTTCTAATTCCTTCCTTTTCTTTTCTCTCCTGAGTTACACACGTAGAGTAAGTTCTGCAATAGACTTGGTGTAGCAGAATGAAACGAAGAGTCACCAGTAGAGCTCCAGCATCGGAGGTCGTTCGAAGCACCATTGTCAAAGGTAAGACTCCTTTGCCTACCTTCTGATTCCCCTATCAGCTTCATCTTTTTCACTCTTTGTTGTTGTTGCCTCCATGGATTTCTTTTTCCATGTTTTCCCCTTTCCTTATCTTTCTATTGCCATTCCTTCTAGCTTTCCTGATAGTAGTTCTACTAGTCTATCAATGATTGGAGAAAGGGTAATTTCATTTTAGGGTTTGTTTCAGTTAAAGCAAGTATCAACTCTACATTTTTTAAATCTCCCTCTTATTATCAGTTTTGATAGACATATATATATTGGTTAACAAAGATCAAAGAAGCAAAAATAGACACACCCATAAATCAAAAACAGAGTTTTTCCAGAGAGATTTTTCTGGATTCACGAATTAAAAACACTGAAATGGGGTGTTTTTGCATGAACAGACAAATCTTTTTTTGTTGTATCATTTTTTTTTTTTTTTTTTTTTTTTTTTTTTTTTTTGAACAACTGTTTTTTTGCTGTATTTGTGCTTGCAAAATTTATTCTCAAACAAAGTCCTTTATTGCATAGACTCACTGGAAGAACATTTTTAACATTACTGTCATTCTTTTTAAGGAACTTTTTCTTTAAGCATATGGATCTCTCTATCTATGCTTTTGGCCACCAGGTTCTTGATTTTATGCCTGAACCATTGCAAACTAACAACACTTAGTTAATAAACTTCTAAAAATATGCACCAATTATATAAGTTATTTCCAGCAACTTTGATTGATCCTTACTTTGATGTTCGGATTGGTCTTAATGTTTGAAATAATTTTTTATTTTTATCTTTATTTTAATATTGCTTGTACTCCAATTGATTACTTGAATTAGGTTTCAAATGACTGTTCTCATTAAGGAAGAAAGTTGGTAATTGAATTCTTCTTTGTATTTTCAATCATGTTTTCATTATTCTTGACTGTAAGAAAAATGCTTATCGACACTTCAGAATTTGATGTTCAATGTTCTCTTTTAAACCTATACTTTTGCTTTTCTGTTTTATTTTGTCTTAATCCCATTGAAGTGGTTCTATTTTCTTATTGACAGCTCTTTTGCAGTTTTAGTTGCTTCAGTTGTTCCTTTACGATTGCAAATGATTGTGATTTTCATGTTTTGGAAGTCAAACTTTGTTGTTAGCTTGCTAACTTGCTAGATACTTGTGAAAAAACACAAAGATTGCAGCAATGTTTGTGCCACATGGGCTTAATAGATTTGTCATTTACCATGAATGGTTTCACTAATAATCTACATTTATTGATAAGCCAATTACACACGACACACATTGAATTTGTGGTGTTTTCAAAATAAGTTTATTTATCTGTGGGTACAACCTGATTGTTCACCAAAAACACAAAATGGAATGAGGGCTTTGGGGTTTAGATTTAAATTCTCTACCCTCTGCCTAGGAAGTCTTCAAGATTTTAAGTTCAAATCTTTAGCCAATAATATATTGTTGGTGTCAATGGGTGAAATCCTATTTATTGAGAGGCCACAGTTTCTGGGAAGTTAAAGTCCCTAGTAACCCCTCTTGGGTGTGGAGGAAACTCCTGTCTTTGAGGGAGTCTCTGTTTCCTTTAATTAAGTGCAAAATTGGCAATGGTGAAGGGACATTTTTATGGTATGATAACTGACACCCTCTTGGATCTTTATGGTCCAAGTATGGCAATAGACTGATGTATGACACTGCCTTAAATGGCCAGTCTAAAGCGGCCTCTGTTGTGGGGGTTAGAGGTTGGAATTGGCCCAATGCTTCTTCCTGGGAGGTAAGGGAGATCATTGCCCACACTCCTCCTGATCTTACACCTTCCATTGGGTGTAATGATAGAAGTATCTGGCTTCCTCAAAATGATGGGAATTTTAGCATTGGATCTGCCTGGAACTCTTGGAGATTAAAATGGCCCACTGATAAATAGGCTAATCTTGTGTGGAGTCCTTACTCTATTCCTAGAGTTGGTTTCATTGTTTGGATGGCTGTTCTGGGAAGATTGAATACTGGAGATAGACTTGCTATATTTGGCCTTAATCCTAACCATGTTTGGCCTTTGTGTGGGGTACATGGGGAAGACCATGACCACCTGTTCTTCAAATGCCTCTTCTCCTGTAAGGTGTGGGTTGCTATGTTGTCCAAATGCAATACCAATTGGCTGAGCAACAAATGGCTGGGACTTGTTGAGGTTGTGGCTAGAGATTGCACGGGAAAATCCCTTGCTACAATTATCAAAAGATTAGCTTTCTGCTGCACTGTGTACCAGAGTTGGTTAGAAAGAAATAATAGAATTTTCAGCTAGGAAAAGAAACCTGAAGAGGTTGTCCTGAAGAATATTATTTGCATGGTCAGATATAGAGCTCTTGCTCTGACCAACATTAAGAAATCTCAGACTGATAATTGGTTCCTACAGGAGTGGAGGTTGCCTTCAACTATCCTTAAAAGTTGGGGGGAGTGTCTTCGAATGTGGGTTGAGTAAAGGGAGCATAATATTAAGGGTTGAGAGTGGTGAGTTCCTATAGTGAGATATATGCATTTATTGTACTGTTTAATGTATTTTTTTTGTATGCAGGTATGGTATGAGGAAGTCTTGCATTGAGGGATGTGAGTTCACCATAAGTGGGTTGAGTGATGGTAGCCAAATATTGAGTGCTAATGTTTTATTAATTGTTTACCTGAAGGTTTTGGCCACTGGATGGTACTGGGGTAGGGGATGTTGTTGGTGAGGGTTGAGTTATGTGAGGCAAATATTGTTGAAGTAGTTTTTTTTTCTCACTCATTATACCATGATTTTAACCAAGCCCCTAACACTGTTATTCTTTGTTGAGGTGAGTGAATATTGTGGGTTGAGTGATTCAGCCCTCCTAAACTGTGAGCTGTGTTATAATCTGTGTTATGGGTGTTGCTTATTTGTTTGTTTCACATGTGTACTACTGTTACTTCCAGGTTACTCTAATCTGTGTTGGGATAAGAAGTCACATGGACAACAACTTTGTTCTGGCCAGCTGGAGGCTTCTGGGAGTGATGGAGACACAAAGACCAGGTTGCGCTGTTGCGCCAGTCTAAGTGGAAAATCTCCAAATGGAAAATACTGTCTTTCGTTTAAATATTGTAATAGTTCTTTTCTTTTTGATTTGTATACAGTCTGTAACTGTTTAGTCCTTGATGATTTGTAGCTGTTGGTTTTGATTCCCTATCCCTACAGGTTGTGTAGGGAAATATTATCTTTGGGTGGGAACTATATGCATGTGCTGCTATGGAAAACATAACAAGGATAGGTTTGTTCTTTTTGTGTGCTGCTGAGCATGGTTTATGGAGGCAAGCTTGTTTGCTAGCTAGACATACACTGCTGCTGCTATTGAAGGATGATTCAGGTGCAATGTCTGTACTCTCTTGGGATATGCTGCCCTGGTGCTTGCTGTTTTGGAGTTATATGAGCGGGGAGCTTGATGGCAGCGCTTTATTTTGTGACGTGATACTGATGCTGATGCTGATGTTTGGGTTTTTGAACTTGTTCATTCTCCCTATTTTAAGTTTAAATATGGACATTGAACAGGTTGTATGGTCCAACCTCTTTATTTTGTCTCCTAGTTTCAGTTAGTATAGTATATTTGTAACTGTTATGTTTTAGTTGGTTTATTCTGTATAGCTTTGGTAGGACGTCGGGTATGCCCCTTAGAAACTTATAAATTTTCTTGTTTTATCTTATGACTTATTCACCAAAAAAAAAAAATACACATGCACTAACGCTATATTTGTTATATTTTTAAATCCTGGTGGTATCTAAATTTATATCTTTTTATACATGTGCAGATTGAGGATCCACTTGCAGACTTTGCAGATTGAGGGGAGTTAGGTGGATCATATAGATAATGCACATGCTTTTTGGAACTTTTATTTTGACACTTGTGTTTTGAGACAAATATTTTGGAACTAGTTGCTACATTTGCAGATTGAAGGGAGCTAAATGGGCCATCTTGACGATGCACAAGCTTTTTGGGACTTTCTATTTTGGCACTTGTGTTTTGAGACGAACATTTTGGAGCTAGTTGCTGCATTTGTAGATTGAGGAAGCTAGATAGACCATGTAGATGATGCACATACTTTTTAACACTTTAATTTTGGCACTTTGTTTTGAGACAAATATTTTGGAACTATAATTGTTATAAGTGACATGTATTTTGGAATTAATTGCTACGTGACATGTATTTTGGAACTTTGTTACATGTGACATGTATTTTGGAATAGACTCTGTATGGATTTGTATGGCTATAATATTGAGATTGTGGCCGATTCTAGTCATATACTGTTATATTGAATGTATGAAAGCTTTAGTAGGTTTCAAGTCATATACTGTTATATTGAATGTATGGAAGCTTCAGTAGGTTATAAACTTCTATTGAATGGCTTTCATTGAGTACATTAGCAATTATTGAATAGAAGTGTATAAACAACATCAGTTTGGCAAATGGTTCACAATTACCGGCGGTTTCTAAAATGCCTCTAATACTTGTATAGAAATTAATGGTTTGGATACAAGGTTTGATGATCGGGCTCTTATTGCTGAAGTGGGCCATTTTGGGCTGAATAGTAGGAGTTCTAAGTCATAATAAATATATGAGGCTTTCCTAAATGATTGAACCCAAATGGATTTGGACCTTTTAGAAGGGTAATCAGGCCATGGGTCTATAAAACCAGTCGTTGATTGCCCGACATAATCTGATAATTAGTGACCGGATATTTTGGAAGAGTAATGATTCATCCCCCTTTTCCCCCCACCCCCTTTGACCCCCTCTCTCTCTCATTGGTTACCTTTTCTTTTTCTTTTTCTTTTTTTTCCTGCTCCTCCAATCACCCCCTGCCACATGGCAAAGGGGGGTGAGGGGGTGACCCCCAAAAGGGGGTCCCAAGCATTATTCATTTTGGAATTCATTTTGTATTTTTACTTGGTTTGTTTCTGTAAAAAATTCGTCCTATGTTTGAATACGGTTTTAAAACTAATGTATTAGTGAATTGTATTAGTGAATTGTATCAGACGTGGCAGTAGTGATAATAGTGGTAGTAATAGTGACCTAATGATAATTGTGGTGACGCCGATGGTGTTGGTATGGTATTGCAGTGGGAGGTTGTAGAAGAGGATGAGGTGGTGGTGGTTATAAGATTTAAGTTTGAAAAATAATTTTTGTCTTTTAAAAATAATAAATTATTTTCTACCTAAATAAATTAATTTGATTTATAAAAAATATTTTTCATTAACTTATACTTTTTTTGTCCAAATAAACATAGCATTGTTGATGGTCTAAGTTTGAAAATTTGTAGTGTTTGAAATAAGAGTGCCTGTTTGGTGCAGCTTAAAAGCTGCTTATTTCAGCTTTCAGCTTAATTTAAGTTATTTTGATGTGTTTGGTTTAGCTTAACAATGCAGCTTATAACTTTTTATAAGTCAGAAATCAGCTTATTCTTTGAGTAGGGCAGGAGATGCTTAATTTATAAGTCAGAAATCAGCTTATGTTCATAGTTATAAGTTATAAGCTGTTAAGGCATAAACTATAAGCACTTTCCCACAGCACTACCAAACAGGGCTAGTGTAGCCAATGGATAATCTTCGTAGTGTTTGATTAAAGTATTATTCAATGTAATCAGTTATGTTGTTTTTTATTTTTATTTTTAGGGACACTTTTTCATAAATTTCTTTTCACCTACTTATGTTCAATTTAGTTTACATTATTTTCTTATATTCTAATAAGTCCTATGAGTGACATAGTTATCAAAATATCCTTAATAATATTCATATTTACAGTGTGAATGTTCCGTGATGTGAATGTTCACACTATCAATGTGAATGTTAATACGTAATGTGAATGTTCACACTGTCAATGTGAACATTCACATGTCAATGTGAATATTCACATCATAAAATATGAATGTTCATATCACTAAATTACTAACCTTTCAAAAAATATTTGTAAGGGTAAAAATATCCATAAAATACTTTAAATATAATAATTAGGATTTGGTAGATCAAATATTCAAATAAAAAGATTTATTAAAATATAAGAATATCTTATGAGCTAGTTGAGATACAAATACTTGAAAAAGAATTTTCTAATAAATCTCCCTTATTTTTAAGAGTGAATAATACATTGGTTTAAAATAATTTAATGTTGAATTCAGTATATTTTTTTTTTGGTTAAATTTAAGTGATCCGTGGCTTTCGACATAAATACGGGCCAAAGTATGGGCTTGATAGCTTGTCAATATCAAGTAAAAATGTATGGGTACTTACGGCTGGTTGATCAGACTAATTTGTTTACAAGTCTTACTTATTTTTTGACCTATTAGTATTTTCAAAATGCATTGCTTTTACCTTTGCCTCCAACTACCACCACCGATAATTATATTCGGCAGCCATGTCTAATTGCTGGTAAGTTCTGGCAATAGTTTGTGACAACATTTCTTTGACCGATTTTCAACAAAAACATCTATCTCTTTTGCGTTACCACTGCCACCATTTCGACCACTCAATCACTCATTTTGACACACTTACTCACATTTACATATACAACCGCATACTCACTCACTCACTATCATCTACTTATATATTCACTCATAGAAACACAACCATATAGAGACATAGACACAGAAGAAGTAACAAACTCAGGCCTAATAAATTTATCAAAAACATATTCAGTGATAAATTTACCATTAAAGATATCACTAATATATTATAAGTGTTAAATTTATCACTATAACTGAGTTATAATAAATTAAAAACGACAAAATCTAATTCACTCATTCTTACTTAAGCATATTCACTCACTTTTAAGAACTTACCCTCTCCTATACACCTAGGTCACGTTTGGGAAATTGACTATTTTAGTAGGCTAAAATAGTTATGGTTGAGAAGTGGGTTGGATTTTTTTTGGTAGTTAGATATGATGTTTGTGAGAGAAAAAGTGAAATGATTATAAGTTTGACATGACATTTTGTCTTATTGGCTATTTTAACTGATTTTGTCTTTTAGTACTATTTTAGTCCAAAAAGTCAAAAAAAAAAAAAAAACTTTCCAAACACCCCAATAGTAACAAGATAAATTGATAAATTTAACACTGAAAAATAAATCTAAACTTGGTTTGTTGCAAATCTAGTTTAAGAGAGAGAGAGAGAGAGAGAGAGAGAGAGAGAGGGGTGAGATTTAGATAATCACCGTTGTTTAAAGTCAATTTCAATACTAGAATAACAAGATTAGTATAGATCTAGATAAGGTTGCCATAAAATGATGGCTAATGTAGACGATGGTGACAGAAGATGGTGGTAGCAATGGAAGAGGTGATGGTGATGTAGTTGTTGTATAGATTGGTGATGGTAAAATGTAGATCGGCAATGGCAAAGGATAGATTAGTGATGGTATGGTGAATTTATAGTGGTGGGGGTGGTTAGTGAACAGTGGTGGAATCAATAGCGATGGAGTGTAGATCATAGACAATAGAGGTATATTGACGATTGTAGAGTGTAAATCGACAACGATGGAGGTGATTGGGGAATGGTGGTAGCGATGGTGGTCAGTGGACAGTGGCAATGACGATGGTAATAGTGTGAAGATGTTGGAAAAGTGTTGAGGTGATAGTGTGAAGATGTTGGAGAAGTGTTGAAGAGAGAGAGAGAGAGAGATTTAATCATATAATGAGGGTAAAATTAGTATTTTAGGATTTATTGATACATTAAAAAAGTATATAGATAAATACAAGTATTTAGGTTCATCAAATGAGACTGACTTATAATTTTTTTTTTTAAAATGTAATAGACTAAATTGGATAGCGTTCAGATTAGCAGTTTAAACAATATGGATTATGTAGGTTAAATGGTGCATATTGTTTATTATACGGTGTCATTTAGTTATTTACATTTCAAATATTTTTATTTAAAAAAAATTCAAATATAGTATATAGTGTTTTATTTATTTATTTATTTATTTTTTGCATAAGGCGATACTACAGGGTGCACAACACCCTTTTTATGGGTAGGGCAATGGTAGAGGGCCACAATTTTTGTGGCTCAAATGGCTCAAAATTGTCAAAACGACGTCGTTTTGAGCACAAAACATGCTAAAACGACGTCGTTTTGGCAGTTTTGAGCCATTTGAGCCATACAAATTGTGGCTCTCAAACATTATTCTTATGGGTATATCACGCAAGAAAAATGTTTGATGGCCACAAATTCTATGGCTCAAATGACCCAAAAATGACAAAACGACGTCGTTTTGGCATTTTCAGAGTTAGTTTGTACCCAAAACACGTCATTTTAACATTTTCGAACAATTTGAGCCACAATTTTATCATAAATGCCAAAATGATAAAATTGATTTGTATTATTTTATCATAACCTTTTCGTCAAAATGATTTGTATTATTTTATCATAAATGGTTTAGAACATTTAATCACACCATTCATAATATAATCATATTGATTCACAAATTTCATTTCAATAAATCATGTCATAAATTCACTTATTTATAACTTTTATCACAAAGTGATATAATTAACAACATAAAATAATTTACTATTATTTTTAATTAAAAAGTCAAAAAGTAACTATAAATTTTTTACATTTTTCTCTCTATTTTTTTAAATATTTTTTTGTAAAAAATTAAAAATTTATTAAAATAATATATCCCTAAACGAGACTTAGGCCTCGTTTGGAAACATGTTTTTTTTGAAACTTTTTGACTAAAATATAATGTAAAAAAACTAGTATATTTAGAATGTTTTTAAAGTCCCCAAACTTGGCCTTAATCACACCATTCATAATATAATCATATTGATTCACAAATTTCATTTCAATAAATCATGTCATAAATTCACTTATTTATAACTTTTATCACAAAATGATATAATTAACAACATAAAATAATTTACTATTATTTTTAATTAAAAAGTCACAAAGTAACTATAAATTTTTTACATTTTTCTCTCTATTTTTTTTAATATTTTTTTGTAAAAAATTAAAAATTTATTAAAATAATATATCCCTAAACGAGACTTAGGCCTCGTTTGGAAACATGTTTTTTTTGAAACTTTTTGACTAAAATATAATGTAAAAAAACTAGTATATTTAGAATGAATTTTTAATTTTTTATGAAAAGATGTGTAAAAAATAAAGAATTTTTTTTTTGATTTTTT